ACCAGCTGTCAAGGGCTAATTATGTTGCCTTTTTTTTTTCTATTTTCATTTCCCCCCCCCCCACAGGGCACATGCACTCTCTGGAGAGAGACAGAGAGATTGTGAGAAGGAAATCATCCTCCAGGGGAAAGGCCACACTCCAATCCCTTTTCCTCCAGTCTCCTCTTGGATTCTGGGCATGCATACACATGTGCTTGTTGTGACTTTCAAGCTGCTGGATCCAGGACTCAAACCATGATTGGCCATTGGGGAATCCTTCACCTTAACCACCACACCACCTACTGGCCCCACATTTCATGGTTTTTTTTTTTTTTTTGAGAAGAGATTTTTGCTATAGGGTGCATGCCCTCACCAGAGATACCAAGAGAGACAGAGAAAGAAAGAGTGAGAAATCACCCCCCAGGGGAATGGCTACAATGCAATCCCTTCTCTTCATTCTCCTCTTGGGATTTTGGGTACACATGGACTTGCTGTGAGGTTTAAGTCACCAGGTCCAGGACTCAAACCACAGGTGACTATGTGGGAGTCCAGCAACATAACCATCACACTGTCTGCTGGTTCCCCCTCTAAGCTGCATGTTTTAAGAGAACTGATTCTTTGGAACTGATAAAGCAAAAAAGTCATGTTATGTGATCCAGGAATTTCTTTGTAACTTTAAAAGTATCTTGATAGGAAAAAAGAAAATGGGTAAGTCTGCAGCAGACTATGAAAACTTGCTCTTTTGAAAGATACTATTTTGGGCCAGTAGATAGTGTGGTGGTTAAGGTAGCTGGATTCTCACTTGGCAGACAACGGTTCAAGTCCTGGGCCTGGTGACTTGAAAATTACAATAGAATAATAATTATTAAATAAGATTTTTAAAAATTATTTTAAGGAATTAATTAATTAATTCCATGTGTTATTATTATTTTTCAATTGGCCAGAGAGAAACAGAGAAAGGAGAAAGAGAGAAAGCAAGCTACCAGGTCCAGGACTCGAACCGTAGTTGGCCATATGGGAATCCAGCGCCTTTAACCACTACACAACCTGCCGGCCCCAAATAAAATGTTTTTTAAAAAAAGTACTTTTTCAGGAAATGGCAAGGATACAGCATTCTTTCACTCTTGTAAACTTCTGTATCTCTACTCTAGTCAAAGCTAAGAGATATTAGGATAAATAAGTTCAAATACAGTTCTTCTCCCTCTCTTCTCTATTTTCCTTCTTTCTCTTTCAAACAGTCTTTAACATTCAAACACATGCTCAGATATTTATATGCACTTAAATGATTTAATTAATGCATATCATGCAAATAAAATTAAAGTATGCCTCCATAAAATCACATAGTGTTAGTCTATGAATATGGTGGTCAATGTTACATATTTAACAGATATTTACATATTACTAAAATACTACACAAATCATGTTTTTAAGCCAGAAATCTAGTAATTAGTTTATTTTTTCCCTTTCTTCCCTTTGAGTATCATTTTGAAAATAATTTCAAGGCTAATGCAAGTATCTGGAAACAGAGCAAAATAATTCAAAAAACAGATGTTTCATGTCAAAATGCAAAAGAAATCACCCCAAAAATTCACAATTACAAATATGCAGGCAGCTCATCATATATAAATATATCATCTCCTGTAGTTTAATGACCACCATTAGTAAAAATTAATTTTTCTATGCTGAGCTCACAGTGATGTCAAAAGTATAACGAAGTCTTTATTTTGTATATAGTCACTACTCAAAAATTTTGCCAGCATTTGACTTATATATATTATTGCATAAGTTAAGACTTTTATAACACAACTCTCCTATTTTAGATTTTGTATGTAATTAGGAAAAATTAACAAAGTGTTCCTATCTTTATCTGTTCCCTTTGCCTACAATGCCCTCCAACTCCTCCACTTAAAACTATTTCTCGGGACCAGCAGTTAGCATAATGGCTATGTTGCTGAACTCCCATGTAGCTGACCGTGGTTCGAGTCCCAGACCTGGTGGCTTAAACTCACTCCAGGTGCATATGCGTGCGTGCCCAGGATCCCAAGAGGAGAATAGAGGAGAAGGGATTGGGGCGTGGCCATCCCCCCTGGGGGGCGATTTCTGGCTTTCTGTCTCTCTGTCTCTCTGGCAAATGCACGTGCCCTATAGCAAAAACCTCTCCAAAAAAAAAAAAAAAGAGGTTTTTGCTATAGGGCGCGTGCACTCGCCAGCAGACAGAGAGAGACATAGAGACAGAAAGCAAGAAATCACCTCCCGGGGGGGATGGTCACGCCGCAATCCCTTCTCCTCCATTCTCCTCTTGGGATCTTGGGCACGCACGCACACGCGCCCAGTGTGAGGTTTAAGCCACCGGGTCCAGGACGCGAAGCGCGGTCGACTACGTGGGACTTCAGTGACATAGCCATTGCATTACGCTAACTGCAAAAACCTCTTTAAAAAAAACCCTATTTCTCAAAATCCTCTTCAGGTGCTAACATCGCTATAAAGCATTCTCTGATCTGCCTTCAAGGTTATCTCTTCTCCTTTTTAAACATTTGCATACTTTATATTTATTTCTACTATTGAATGAATTCCAATAAATTAACTTTACTGTTATCCCCAGCACCCTATCATCCTAATTTCAAGATTATGAAAGACAAAGGCTTCTTCTGTCTCTAACAAATACCACAAGACCAGGTACTTTATAGAAAAAACTAACGTGTGGAATGTTTTTCTCATGTTTATATCCTCTGAGCACAAATCTATGTATACATTGAAAGATGTGTTCTAAAAGTGGAGAAAGAAAATGCAAAATGCACTACAGATAATCTTCAGTTCCCAAAATACAAAGTTGTATTCTTAGCAGTTCAAAGTTATTTCATTATGGTATGTGCTATCCTGTCAACCAATCACCTCCCCAACTAATTTTGTCTAGGAAACATTTGGATAGAAAACATATTTGGTTTTAAAGTACTGATTTACATGGAGTATTTAAGTAAACTGCTTCTAGACATGAACAGCCTAAACTGCAAGCAAAAGAATTTCTAACTGGCTGGTATTTGTAGGCTCTCTCAAGGTTCAAACTACTGCCATTATAACCTCATCCTTCCAGACTATGACCTCACTCTAGTCAGGAAAGAGCAGCAGTAGCCATACCACAGTACAGGAGACCACAATTAGGGAACTTAAAACTGGAGTATACATAAAATCCTTAATCAAGAACAACCACATATACTTTTTATAAAATATATGTTCTCCCTTTTCTTCTTTTAAGAATTACTCATTTGGGACCAGCAGATGGCGTAATAGCTATGTTGATGGACTCCCATGTAGTCGACTGCAGTTGGAATCCTGGCCCCGGTGGCTTGAACACATGCCGGGCGCATATGCGTGTGTGCCTGAAATCCCAAGAGGAGAATGGAGAAGGGATTGGGATGTGGCCATCCCCCCTGGGGGAGGGGGTGATATCTCACTTTCTCTGTCTCTGTCTCTGTCTTTCTGGTGAGAACATGCACCCTATAGCAAAACCTCTCCAAAAAAAAAATTACTTATTTAATTTGATCTAAACATTATTTTTTAATTTTACCAGAGAGAGACAGGAAGAGAGGGAAAGTGAGTAAGCAAGGCACCAGGACCAGGACTTGAACTGCAGTCAACTGCAGTCAATGTGGGAGTCCAACACCTTAACCAACACACCACCTACTGGCCCCAGATAGTTCTCTCTTATTAACACACGTATCAACCAATTAGCCTGATTTAAAAAGGAAATACAATACAGATGTCAATTAGAGTGGCCTTATTGAAATATGATCATTTTTAAAAACTGAGGAAAAACTGAAATGGCACTATCACAGATTTAACATCGGGTAAAATAAGACTTAATGAGTATGCTCCAAATTCCATTTTCCCCTCCCTTCTACAACCTGCAGCTCACAATTTCTGTGGGCTGAGAAATCTAAGCAGAAAGTACAAGAAACGACTGAGGTCTCAAGGGACAGACTCATGAATTTTCATTTGCCCACAGTGTGTTCTCTTGGTCAATTTCTAGCTTCTTGTTCTTATTCCACAAAGTTAAAACCACTACTAGAATGCAACCTTACACAGTCTTCCACAAGTTTGTAGAAAATGTGCATTATGAAATGACGAGGGATGGATTTCAAAACTTTTTTACACCAAATAAGCTGGTATTTTTTTTGTCAAATGGTGCCCACACTGTCCAGAGGGAGAAAGCAGCCCCAATGGGGCCTGGTCTCACTGCAATCCCTTCTCCTCCATTTCTCCATCACCTGGTGATTTGAAGCAAGGGATTCTGGAGTCCACCAAGGGCGTTTTTTCAGGCTGCCAGGCCGCCATGTGGCATCTGGCTTCCTTAACCTCTAGGCTACAAGCCAGCCCCCAAATTCCTGTTTTAATTCCATTTTCCACGATTTTTCTGAAGTCTCTTCATAGATACGTTGATTGTACCCATTTATGACAATTATAAATCTTTCACTACATTGTATTTGACTAGTCTATTGACTATAGTGTTTTTAACCTGTTGACAAAAATCCAGATTTTTATAAAGATTTTTAATATCTGAATTTGCCGTAAAGTTTCTGAAGTCTTTTTAATAGCTACAAGTGAAAATTGTCGAACTGATGATTCCGGTTACAACCGCACACATTTACTAAACAAACAGACAATGCTAAATAGTGTAGGAAAAACGTCACTGTCTTCCAGGATAAGACAGACGATCTTTCATTAGTGCTTCTAATGAAAGCATTAAGGACCTACTGAACTGAAAAATCTGGCTGCAACAAAAAAATTATAAAAGGGGGATGGAGAGAAAAACCATCAGGCAATTTAATACGTACGCTTGCCAATGGCATTTAATATCTATTAAGAACCCAAAACACTAAAGAGCTGACAAAAATTCTGGAATACTATTTCAATCACTGCTAAAAAGGAAAAAAATAATAATAAAAAAGAATCCTGCCCGTTTACTTTTCAATAGCTGGAGGGGAGGAGGAGGAGCACTATATTCAAAAAGTAATTCACTATACCTCACTCATGAATGAAAGCCAAATTTCACCCAGAGGCTGTGAGCCGATGCTCCAAAACTTCCTCGCAAAGTACACAGAGAAAGAAATGAGGCTGGGCGACAGCTAACTCGGGCAGAGAAACGGCTTCGAAACCTGGAACAGAGAAAACGACGAGTCAGGTCGTCGCTCCAGAAATTTCCGAGCGCCCGATCCCCGGGAGGGAGCGCGGATGCCGGGCGCAGAGGGGGCGGTGGCACCTGTCACTCGGGCGGCCACCGCCCGGACGCCGGGGCCTGGGGTCGGCCGCAGGTCCCTCCCCGCCGCCC